AGTATAGAGTTGAACTTACTCAAAGTTGTATGGTAGCCATATAGTAGAGTGTTGTTGGAGAGTTTTGAAAGCCAGGGCAATGTATGCCGCAACCTTAAGGGACTCTTTCCTTAGTTTCGTCGTACGGATGTGCTCTTTCTCCCGAAGAGTCTTTGCAGCAGCTAGCTCTTTGGCATCCAGTTTTCACTGTTTAGGGTAATTAAAATTTATTTGGGCTATAGCTTGAGGGTCTAGATACCCAACTTTCACACTTGGCATTTGTTTGATAATGTGCACTTGCATTCTACAAATCATGGCGTGGGTTAGTTACAACAAAATTCAAAGATTACATTCATATCATATCGGGAGGACAAGGACTTACAGGCACCACGTGCGAATTAGATTCATCTCCATTTCTCCCAGGTGAAAGCATGTATGCATGTCATTGAAGTCAAAGACAATTTTCCCGGCTGGGCTTCCAAATGTGCCGGTGGGGAAGCATGCTTGTATGAGGTCTATGCTCGTTGGGAGAACACGCAAGTACCAATCATGGAACCTTCTCATTCCAAGTGGTAGGCGCTGGATGTCCCGGTTTGGTAGGAAGGGCTTGCCTCTTTCATATGTTTTCAGGCAATTCTTTGACCATTTGATGGCATCATCATTTGGATACTGCTTTGTAATTTGGTGGAGTTTGCTAGTGACGGCCTCCTCAGAATCCTGTGATGGGACTTTTTTAACTTGGTTCTCAGGCTTGAACTGGTCATGGGAATACCACTTGGACACCGACGAGACGTCTTTCATCGAAACATAAATTGGCCTTATGGTGATTGGATGCTTCTTTCGAAGTTCCCATTCAGGCACGTCCTCATCTTCTTGTGCATCACCTTCTTCAGGAGGCACTCGTTGTTCATGTATCTGTTGTGCTTGTTGAGAAGACTATGGCATCTCATCATGCACTTGCTCAGTACGAGCTAGAGAAGGTTGTGGCATCTCATTAGGCACATGCTCGCTAGGAGGCGGGGAAGAATGTGGCATCTCAGGAATGTGGTGGTCACGAGACGGTGAAAATATCTCCCCGACCTCAACAATTTGCTCTAAATTTGGGAGAGGGGGAGGCGGCGAAGAAGCAGTCAATATAATGTCCTGTTTGTGCTAGAGGATGAACTACCCCATAACGTCTCCAAGTAACACCAGCCCCTCGGGAGTTGCGTAATCTATCCTCCACTACATAAACTCAGGCTTCACGGTATGCACCTCGACCATAGTGTAGTCCGGTGATATCTTATTATTGTGGTGTAAGCCACCGGGAGGATGTGCCACACCCATTGCCACCTCCATCACAGTGTTCTACCGGCCGCTGAGAAACACCAGGGTGCAACTAGTTGGTTCTCGTATGCGATCGACGGGGGTTGTGGCTGCAGTGGAACCTTGGCTGCTAGGAACTTTCGGAGGGCTGCCAACTAATGCCCGTTCTCCCGGCGGCGTCACTAATATCCGTGGCTCCGTAGACAGTCCTTGCTCCTCCAGCGCCTTCGCAACTAGAGCCTTCACTTGGAGCTAAAGATTAGTCTCCCGGTCCCTGCCATGTTTCTTGTATATGTGCCTGTCCTCTTCGAATCCTTGCTTCCAGGTCGTCCTTTTCCCTAGCCCCCTGGTGCGGCCTGTGTGCTCCTTGTTTCCTAAGCCAAGGCTAAGCTCGTCCCTCTCTCTAGAAGGATTGAATGAGCCCTTCTCATCTTCAGTATATTTCAGTATCCTTGATACTGCCTCTTGGGTCTCCGGCTTATCAAACTTAAGATTACCACCGGATGATTCTGTACTCCTCACATATATCCAATTCCTTGAGCGTACCTTCAAATTTGTCACATTGATATTCCCAGTAGTTACGGCATCTTCGTCCATCTTCCTAAACTGCTCTTCTTTGGCATAGTAGCCACCGGGGCCTAAATGATGGTGGTGTTTGTTCCTCTTTCGCCAGCTCGGTGTTACGCGCACTGAGCTCTAATGCCTCCAGTGAAGTCTTTTGAGCCACGAGCTCCTCCCATTGACTAGGAGTTATTTTGCCGAACTCGTTGAAGGGAGTTAACCCCTTTTGGATATACTTCGTGTTGAGCTCCGACCTTCAACGTCGGAATGACTCTCCCATCATACTAAAAGTATTTTTTTACCAGTTTGTGCTTACTCTCCGGAAATCTAAAATTGAGCTTCAGCTGCCTATCCCATAGTTCATTCTTTTTGTTCTCTGGTACCTCTTTCCAGTTAGGGATTGCTGGGTTCAATTTATCTCTTACTAGGGCCCCGATCGCATTACAGAATCGTCCTCTTAATTCCTTCGGCTCAAGGATCTCCCCTGCTGGCCTGACCTCTGTTATCACATAGCATGCCTTATCTGTATATAGATTTTCTTTTCTATCCCCTCGTTTCCTCTTAGGTTTGGTAGTCATGGTTGTGTCTTGAGGTTGTGGAGCAGAGGCATCGTGATCCGTCTCTGTGGCTGTTGCCTCTACTCTCCTTTTCTCTACTCCATCTTGTCCAGCGAGATGTCGTGGATGTCGACGTCGTCTTTTCCGAGTTTTAGGAGGGACCTGTATATACAACAGGTCAAAGTGTTAGCAGAGGTAACACAGCCAAAGTTTTAGCAAAATTTACAAGCTAAGGCTTTTTCCCTACCTTCTTGTTCGGGTCAAAATCCTTGTCCAAATCTTCCTCCGTTGGCCTCCTTCTGGCTTCACGTGGGAAAGGATCCTTGAGACTTACATATCCCTCTTCTGAGTCATCATCATCATCATCCTCTTCTTCTTTGCCTTCAGCAGCCTCTCCTGCTCTTCCTTCTGCTCCCCCTTCCTCCTCGTCACACGCTCCTAAGTAAGCATCACTTCTAGATCTTTTTTCTAACTCGTTATCGAACTACTCCTGAGTTAGCTGGTCCTCTAGTGCTTGCTCCTCATAGGTTGGCTGCTCATCATGCTCGGGGCATCGGGCTGCACTATCTGGTGTCCGCGATATTATTTCGCTTTTGTTCTAATAGATGCAAGAAAGTGTGCTTTAGGTACGCGAGAAGGTATAAGAAATAAAAAAGGTCTATAAACCAAAGTAGTCCTATAAAACAACAATATATAAAAAAAACAAGTAGTAGCAGTAATAGAGGCCTCAGAAACATGTCAATCATCATTTGATCATGAACTTAGAGCATCAAAGCATCATAACAGAGAAGAGAGGAGAAGGTAATGTAGGGGCGGCGGCTAATGATGCCAAGTTCCTCACAAGTTCTTAATCATCAGCTCATATTCCATATAATGTATGGACTTGGACAATTTCATCAACGACAAAACAAAGGAGAGAAGAGGAGAGGGGAGATTTGGCAAAAAAAGCAACAACTGCTTAACAAACATAGAGAGGAAAAGATGTAAAAAAACAGTTGTTGTTTCCCAAACATAGAGGATAGAAAAAATAGTCAAAAAACAGTTGACTGCTGCCACATGGTTGGAAGACCCCTGCAGATCAAAATCTGGTAACTTAGATGTGATAAATAATGGATTAGAGTAGATGAGGAGTAATAGTAGATAGAGTAATAGTAGAGGAGTAGAGTAGAGTAGGAGTAGAGAAGTGTAGCAGCCAGTAGATAAGAGCAGCAGCCACTTAGATACAGTAGTAGTTGTAGATAGAGTAGTAGAAGTGAGTCACTTAGTAGTATAGGGAAGTGAGTAGAGTAGCAACCAGCAGCTAGGGAAGAGAGTAGAGTAGCAGCCAGCTAGTAGGAGTAGGAGTAGCTAGCAGTAGCAAGTAGAGTAATAGTAGTTCAGTAGAGTAGAGTAGTAGTAGTAGTTCAGTAGAGTAGTAGTACTAGTACAGTAGGCAAGTGAATACACATACATGCAAACTGCTACAATGAGATGTAGTAGTAGTAGTTCAATAGAGTAGTAGTAGTAGTTCAGTACAGTAGTTCAATAGAGTAGTAGTAGGTAGCCAGCAGCTAGCAGTATCAACACACATGCATGCAAACTGCTACAACCAATATAGCTTAGGCAAGTGAAATCAACTAATAAATAAATAAATCTACTTGCAACCTAAAAAGATGACCAAAATTCGTGCAAATGACAAAGTTCAGAACCTAAGCTAACTGCATGTGCTTGCTGCCACCACCGAACAAAGGAGGTCAAACAAATCTAACCTGATACACTTTTCATAGAAAAACAAACAAAAAGATATGAAAAAATGCAATAGCTGTAAAATTCGAAGGATAATAAGTTAAATGTATGCAAATAATAAACTCTGTTTGAAAGTTTAAATAAATAAGTTAATGAAATATGCTTCATGAAATCTAACTTCTAGACCCCCAAGCCAGTGAATAAACATCAAGGGAAATGTATTTTATTTCAAAATACATCATTATCCAACCTTTCAAGAATAAATTAGCTCAGTGTGACAGATATCATGTGCACGAATCAAAACATATCAAATAGCATATAAAGAGTACAATTCTAAAATTTGTATAATGATGCATTTCCAAGTTCCCATTTTTGTACAGCAACAATTCTTAACATTTCAACTAGCACATCAGCAGCATCAAAGTTAATAAAAAACACAGGATCCCAATTTCCAGTAAATATTCCATCAGAGTATCACATCAGCATGTGAAGTATCATTGGATTATCACAAAACTATGCTGGTACAGTTGGAATTTGGATGATCCCTTTGCAATAATCAAAAAATTTTGTGCTTTGTTCTGGCTCGGGGAATTTATAATTCCATCAGATCATGCCACAAGCTGAATGCATGTAGAGTGGATTATCACAACCACAATGCTAGAACAGTTTTGTTTAGACCAGTTTTGGATCCCCAAGGATGGGACCATGATATTGGGTTCGATGCCATCAATTTTGAAGCATCTCAAGAGTTGAAAAAGAATGTCTCTGGAGCAATTACAGGACAGATGAGAAAGGACAAGGAAGACATGTATATCCATTCAGAATGTTCAGTAAGTTACAATGCTCAGAGAGGCTGCTCCTTGATGGGGGGGTATGGATATGCAAACGGCAAGCAGAGATTTGGTCTGTACCGTTCACGGGGATGCCAAGTTCCGCAATCTGCCTTGGAACACTACTGGAGGTGGCATTTCTGTTACTAAGTTTGGCAACAAGTACTTTGCTGGTGCCAAGTTAGAAGACTCTGTTACCATTGGGAAACGGGTTAAACTGGTAGCCAACGCCAGTAGAATGGCTGGCTGTGGGCAAGTGGCACATGGAGGTGGTGTGGAGATAACAGCAAGGGGGAAAGATTACCCTGTGAGGGAAGAGAGTGTCACGGCAGCAGTCTCCGCTTTGTCGTTTGAAAAGGAAACTGTAATTGGGGCCAACCTTCAGTCAGACTTCCGAGTGGGCTGTGGATCAAAAATATCAGTCAACGCTAACCTAAATAGTAGAAATATAGGCAAGCTCAGCATCAGGACTAGCACGTCAGACCACACTGAGATAGCTCTGATAGCAGTTGTGTCATTGATCCAGTTCATTCTTAGGAGAAGATCGACAGCAGCTGATAAAGGTGAGCAAGAGAGTGATGAAACCTATTTGGATGACTAAATAACAAGTAGAAGGAAAAGACAATGATTGCATGCTTTAGATGTTCTTCATCATCAGGATTTGCTACAATTATGTTAATCTAAGGCGGTCGTCAAATCTAGGGTTCCAACTTGTACAGACTCCTTGTATATGAGTTATTATGAGTATAATGTATGAAGGCAGCATTTTCCATGAAGAGAGCTCCTCCTTCTGCCTATAGGCAGCATTTTCCATGTAGAGTGGATTATGTGAGTGATAGGTTTTCTTTTTCAAACTTACCTGAGGAGATCTTGCCTAAGCTTTGCCAATTTTTATATAACAAGCACATATTTTACTCTTTAATTGCATAATACCATACTCTAATATTTTATTTCCATCCTTTTTCTCAATGAACAGCAGCTGAGGCTCAAGCAGCGGAACATGCAGCTGGTGCACAGGTGACAGCTTCGCAGCCTGGGACAGCTCTAAGCTATGGATTGATAGGCTATATATATCTGCCATGTTGTCTTTGTTTAGAGGAGCAATGCCTGGCATCTCGATCATCTTGTCATGCTAGCTATTCACTGAATGGGATGCAAAGGTGGTAGCCACCTAATTGTCTCCAATTGGTACATAAACTAGATTCGACAGTACACATAGAAGCACACACATGACATATGCATCAATCATCAGAAAAACAGGATCCTACAAAAACTAAGTCACCAGTCTTAGTCGATCTATATCTATAGGACTCGAGAAAAGCAACAATCACAAGGGCATTTCCGCTTGCACTGGAACCAAACACCACACCGAATTTGCTTTTAAGTAAATAAATAAACTATCACAGAGCCAACAAGGTTGATTAACACAAAAGCCAAATTAACTCAAGGTGGATCCGAATTACCTATCAGATGTAGGGGAAGCTGTGGAGGAGCACGGACGCTGGTGGAGGTGCCCTGCTACAGGAGAGGCCTTAGACTTGAAACCAAGTGATTGAGGACCAGCAACAGGTACTCATCACGCTCGCCACAATCTGCAGAAGAGCGGCACATAACGCAAATTAGAGTGATGCCTTGATTATCAATGAATCTGCTAAAAGCCTCAGTCAGCAAGGAGGCATGGGAAGGGAAGCTCACGGGGTCGGTGGCTCTAATTTGCAGAAATTAAATAAAATTGGTATTGTTACCATAAAACTGCAGAAATTAAACATCTATATCAATAAATCTGTATTGTTGCCTTGCTTAAGGATTCATGAATCATATGCCTACATACCCTAAATTCATATCAGAGTTCATTCAAATAAAATTCAGAAAAAATGAAGAGGACCTCATCTGGTGTAGACACGTCAAGGTAGAGGGGATATGACGGCTGCTAGGGTTTGGGGCGACACCCAAACTGCTCGTGCGGGTGCGAGGGAGTTGGGCCGACTCTAGATTGTGGTGGCCGGCCAAGGAGGAGGGGAAGAAGCACCGCTAGCCATGGAGGAGGGGAAGAAGCGCCTAGCCTTGGTGGCCGATGGCCGCGCCTGGTGCCCGACGGCCGTGCCTGGTAGTGCCTCCGCCTCAATGCGGTGATGCCGATGCCGGTTGCTGATGCTACGCCCGTGCTGGCGCTCGATCTGCGCCTCCAGGCCTCAACAACTCTCTACCTCGACCTCGAATCCCTCGATGCTCACGGTTAGGGTTAGCTGTAGGCACGGATCGACAAGAGCCCAAGACTTCTCCAACTCCCTGTAGGCCAGTGCAGTGTGAAGAGCCCGTAGCTAGGCGCCGTAGCCGGCCCGCGCACCGAGAACTGCGGCCGGGTGGGTTGCGTCGGCGAGAGCGACCGCCGTGGTCGGCAGGCGGGCGGGGGAGGAGGATGAGAAGGGGAGGGGTCAGGGATCTAGGCCGCTACGTGTTGGTGTTTCGTACAAGCACCGGTAAGTAAATTTATAGTAATGCGCGTTAGGCTCGGATGGTGCGCTAAAGGACACAAGATTTATACTGGTTCGGGCTGAATATCCCTACGTCCAGTTTGTTGCTGCTCATGTTATTAGCACCGTGAATGGTTCGTAGTAGGGGATACAAACGATCGAGAGAGGGACAGGTCCCAAGTCTCTGATGGAAGGGTCGAAAGGAAGCCAAGAGCTTGGCATCAGCTTGACTATGTGTGTGTGTTGTGTTGTTTTTTCCACCCGTCCCTCTAGTGGGGAGCCCTGCCCCTCCCTTTTATAGACCAAGGGGGGAGCAAGGGTTATAGATGGGAGAAAGAGGAAAACACCAAGGGTATAGAAGGTCCTTTGAAGGATTCAGGTCTTCCTTTTTCCCAGCGCCTGTCCTGTATAACATGGCAGACAGTGTCAGAAGTGTTGTGTTCGCTGATCTTCGTAGGCCATGCCCTGGCCTCTTGTAGCAAGTGGGTGCGTCCCATCCCGCCCCTACGGGCGGCGTGTCGGACAGGGTTGCTGAACCCCGACCCCGTAGGGAGTGGATGTCGCGGTGACTGCTTGTTCTGCCATTGTAGAGGACGGGAGTCTCTCCTTGGAGCGTAGTGGTTGTCGTATGTCCGTGTCGGGTTCTTCACCTGGTGGGTTGAAGGCGGTGCCTACAACACTGTAGGGCGAAGAGTACGCGCCTACAACACTATTCGGGCTCTGTTATGCCTGGAAGGGTCTAAGCACCCGTCCTGTCATGTCCTGACGATACTTTCCTATAGGGGCGCAGGACATGGTCTTTTGGTGCCATGGTTGACCCGAACGTCTTGTCTTACCCTGTGCCTATCATCATGAGGGAGCAGGGTGCGGTTGTCAGGCGAGGCGGAGCCAATCCTTGGACATCGGGCAGGACAAGGTCCATCAGGCGAGACGGAACCTAGCCTTTGGGGGTCGGGCAAGACGGAGCCCAGCCCTCGGGGGTCGGGCGAGACAGAACCTAGCCCTCAGGGGTCGGGTGAAGTGGAGTCTAGCCCTCAGCCCTCGGTTGAGGCAGAGCCGTCCCCCAGCCGTCGGGGGAGGCGGAGCCGGCTGACGGGCCTCGGGCGAGGCGAAGTCTAGCCCTCAGCCCTCGGGCGAGGCGGAGCCGTCCCCCAGCCGTCGGGGAAGGCAGAGCCGGACGACGGGCCTCGGGCAAGGCGGAGTCTAGCCCTCAGCCCTCGGGCGAGGTGGAGCCATTCCCCAACCGTCGGGGGAGGCGGAGCTGGCTGATGGGCATCGGGTGAGGCGGAACCAAAACTCCCGTCGTTCGGGCAAGAAGCGCAACGGTGCTCTTGTCCGTTTGGGAGTTTTTAACGTTCGATGGTTATTTAGCTCTATCTCCTTGGGTACCCCGGTATTAGGTTCCCGACAGTAGCCCCCGGGTGGTTTGGGCAGAATCGCCCGGGGGGTGTTTCGATTTCGTCGGAGTTAGATCGCTAGAGGGTGCGCGCGAGCGCACCCGATGGGTGTAGCCCCTGAGCCTCCAGGTGGTTCGAATAGAACCGCCTGGGGGTTGTATCGGACCCTTCGCGGGTAAGCCTGAAGGACTTGGTTTTTTCGTCAACTGGATATTTTTTCGAGGGGGTCGTGGTATCCCGTTCGCGGGGATCTCAATCAGGGCTGACCTAACTAGGGCTTAACCATGGGTCGAGACCCTAGTAATGCTTGCGCCCTTGATTTCGGATCGTTCGCGGACCCGCCCTCAGTTGGGCTGGCCGCCGAGTCTTCTGGTCCCTAGGTGGGCCAAATAGAAAAAATCTTTGTGACCTGCCTTCCCCAGGTGGGAAGAGAGTCCGGATTCGCCTGGGGAAGGCAAACCGTCCACCATGATTTTCGATGGGAAAGGATAGGGACTGCGGGCGCGTGTCCTGCGACGTGACGCGGTGGTGCGCGTGGCAGGCCCGGAGCTTGAGGCGGACGGTTGCCCTTCTCGCGCCCGTCGCCCCTATAAAACCATGGGGTTCGCCCCCAAGGTTCCGTATTTCACCCCCTTGCCTTTGCGTCTGAGACATCCGTCGCCAATCGCCCCAGCCTCCTGCGCTCGCACCGCCACCATCGACCGGCTTGCGTCCGTGTTGCAACCGCCATCAAGCTTGCGCCTGCCCTGTAGCCACCGTCGATCTTGCGCCCACCTTCTCCCCAATCGCTTTAATGGAGTTGTGGTGCAGACCTAGCATCACCTCTCGGCGTTTGGAGGGCCTCGTCCATCGTGGCCTTCTCCGTCCATTGTTGGCCGTCCAGGAGTGGCTGATACCTGGTGACGAGGGTGAGCCGGCACCGCCCAAAGGGTATGTCGTATCTTTCGCCATCTTTCATGAGCAGGGATTTGCAGTACCCGCGCATAGATTCCTTCGGGGGCTGCTGGATTACTATGAGGTGGAGCTGCAGCATCTTACTCCCAATGGGGTTCAACATATGGCGGCGTTTGTTGCCCTGTGTGAGGGCTTCCTCGGGATCGATCCCCATTTTGATCTGTGGCGGTATTTATTTACCGTCAGTTTGTTGAAAAGGAAGATTGGGGGGAAGGATGTGAGCGTCCCAATGGGATGCACCAGTGTTCATCTGCGCCATACCCGGTTGAGGGGTTACCCGTTCATGCGCCTCGCAACGTCTAACAAGGGATGGCACTCACAGTGGTTTTATGTCAGGGATGATGTGAGTGCCACCCTGCCGAGGTACACCGGGTGCCTTATCGAAGAGGCTTTGGGGTTGTGGGCCTGGGGCGTCCAGTCCAAAGACAAGAAGCACCTTTCCGACCTTCTTTCCGCCCTCCAAGCTCTAAAGGAACGGGGCGTAAAGGGGATGGGAATTATCGGTGCCTATCATGCGAGGAGGGTGGCACCGTTGATGATGCGCGTGCTTCCCCTGCACCAGATGATGCCCAGGATATCGTTCGAGGGGACGGTGCTTGTTGACGAGGCGCTCCCCTTCTCAGAAGTGGCGCAGCGCATAAAGGAGGCGACGGAGCCGACGAAGGATTCCAAAGGCGACGTCCTCGACATTATGTATCCGGTGCCCGGACATCCCCCAATGCGGCCGGAACCTGGGTTCTTCGAATTCGTAAGCCTTCTTCTCCCATGCTCTTTCT